AATGTGCCGTACCAGAGGTCTAGAGGGAACTCAGTGTTCTGTCTGCCATCTATAATGTATGCGAAGCAACTTTATATGCATGAAAATGGGAATGTATTGCAAATGTATCTGAATCTGTGTGTATACGCAGCGGTGTTAAAAGATGACATAATTCAAGAGTGCACTAGATTATGTCATTCCAAGGCAAGAGTCGGTAAACAACATTTCGCACACATAAGCACTGACTGCAGTGATTAGGGTTGGACTTTATTACTTATTATTGTGTTTTGTATTAATGTAGTCATTTGAGAGTGGATTTTTACATGTGTTTAGCCTGACATTATGGGTATTTTCCATTTGGGGCAACGATTATGTAAAGCTGTCGTATCGGTTTGTTTTGTAACAGAGATGTGAGAATATAGTTACAAATACAGTAACTGAAATGCAGTAAAAAACAAACAAAAAAAACACCTATACATGCAGGTGTTTGGATAAAGTAGTGTGTGTTGATGTATGAACAGGGCAGGGCAATGCTTTTCTCTTTGTGGTGTCTCTCCATAAGGTTATATGTCAGTTTTGCTCATGGTTTTAGGATTTATGTAATGTTTAATGTTTATTGTTTTCTAAAATTGTTTTGTATTCTGATAAGTGGCAGCTTTGAGGCAGAGTAATAATACAGAGATTGTGCGTGACACTCCCTGCTGCTCCTCATCTGAATTCATGCTCCTCTCTCACCAAGTGTCCCGCCACATCACAACACAACAAGCTCCTTTCAGACATCTCATGCACAATGGATCTGCATTTGACCTTTTTTTAAATGTACTGTATTATTTTAATTAACAGTTAATAATTCTTATGTTTCAAAACATTTACTAGGCCAAAGTGTTTTATCCTTGTGCAGGACTAAACACACACGCACACACACTTTCCTAATCCTCTCTTTCTCTCTCTAAACAGGACAGAGTAAAGAGTTGTAAACTACACACAATACTGCATAAACATGACCTTGGCAGGTAAGCTACAAAAGTCCTCCCTGATTCCCAAACACCAAAGCCTCCATTATCAAATTCAATATTTGAAGGCCCCCCTGCAGGCCATGATTTTTTTCTCTTGTACTTCAGCTGAAATGTTAACACAAGAGTTTTAGAAATAGGAGGAACACATTTTACATTTTATATCAATATTATATCATGATGAACTTGTATAATATAATTTCAAAAAGTATGTTTTGTTTGCGAATTTTGTACAAATATAATAATATGTCCAAGAGAGAGCTCAGCAGGTTCTGTTTTTTAGCCTATCTCCAGAGAAACAAATATCATGCATTATTTTTAAGCATATTTTTTACATTCTATACAAAATGTATTGAAATGAACTTGTTTCCAAACAGGTTTCCTAAACACTCCCCCAAACTCCCATTGGTCAAGCAAACATATAGTTCCACCCCAATAATCACATCATTGGTTGATTTTGTGAAAGAGCCGCCTTAAATTTTTCTACTTGGCTAATGCGCGTTTTATTAGCCCACAAAAAGCGATCAAAAAGATTCTGTTCTGTTTACATTTAAGCATTTCACAGACGCTTTTATCCTAAGCAATTTACATTCTATTCAAGATAATTGTATTCAGTTCCATGGGAATCGAACCCATAATCTTGCTCTGTTGTTCGAAATATTGTATGAGAGCTTTACTTGACCCGATTAATTTATTTGAGACATTTTATGTTAAAAATCGCCTACAGCTGCTTTAAATGAGTTAATTACTTTTAAATTGTCTAATTTTCTGCATGTAAACCAAGCATGATCAAGATCTTTGACAGAATGCAAGCGTTTGTTCATGTTTACAAGGTATTTTGTACTTACCTGACGTTTCGCCACACAGCATATCGAGACAAGGTGAAGGAGCTCCCTCTAGTGTCACTTTTGTGCTCCTGCATCAACTCAAACCCTGCAGAAAATCCCACATACAAGGCTGAGGGTAAATAATAAAACATTACTTATTGGTATTTATACTTTAAAGACACATCTCTACCACTATAATACAGTGAGCATAAATATAATACAGATTCACACAGTACTCAATGTGTGCTCATTCTTGAAGATGCAGTGGATCTCAGCTGGTGTGTGATCAAAGATATGGAGGTCATCGAGCTGAACAAGCGGGCCTCAGGCCAAGCATTTGAGGTGATCCTGAAACCCCCCTCTTTTGACGGCGTGCCTGAGCTTAACACATCTATGCCCCAGCGTAAGGACCCCTCTCTGGAGGAGATCCAGAAGAAACTGGAAGCCGCTGAGGAGAGGCGGAAGGTTGGAATTTACACCCAAACCATCCCTCTCTTTGGTCTGATTTTGATGCTGAAACAGTATTCTTCTCTCCAGTTTCAGGAGGCTGAGATGTTAAAGCATCTTGCAGAGAAGAGGGAGCATGAGAGAGAGGTCATCCAGAAGGCCTTTGAGGAGAACAACAACTTCATTAAATATGCTAAAGAAAAGTTGGAGCAGAAGATGGAGGCCAACAAAGAGAACCGCGAGGCTTTGCTTGCCGCCATGCTGGAGAGACTACAGGAAAAGGTACGAACTAACTGAAAGGGATGTAAAGTACTTTATTACAGCACTTAGTCAATGTGAATTGCTTTATTTTTTAAACAATAAAAATAAATAATTTAAAGATTATTTCTAATGAAAATGTATTTCATTTGACTATGCATAGCTAAAACATTCAACTTTACTAAGAACGTTGTTACTTTTAAAAAATATAATTAGGCCTACAATCAAATATGGAAACTTTTTTTTTTCTTTTACCTTCATACATATAATTTTTCATATAAATTCAATACCAATCCAAAGTTTGGGTTTTATAGGATTTGAAAAAAAAAAAAAAGTTTAACGTATCTTACGCTTACCAAGGCTGCCTTTTTTAAATTTTTTTAGTAAAAATGTTTTTAAAAATAGTAGTAGTTAATAGTAAAAATAATATTTGCTCACCAAGGCTGCTTTTTTATTGTAAAATAATAAAAATAGTAAAAATATAAAAAATAGAACTAGTACATAGTAAAAATAGTAATATTTTGAAATATTATTGGCATTTAAAATAACAGGTTTTAACTTATTCCTGTGAATTTTCCATTACTCCAGTCTTAAGTGTCACATGGTTTACTGCTCAAGAAACATTTTTAATTTCATTAAAAAAATAAAAAAAAATGTAAAAAAATTAAAAAACATTATAAATGTCTATTTTGTTCAATTTAATGCATCTACTGAATAAAAGTAATAATTTCTCTAAAGATATATGTATAAGTATTTATAATATATAGAACAAAATATAAAACATTATATTTAAAATATATATTATATTATTATATTTAAATTACTATTCTATTTCAATTAAATTATAATATTATGTTTAAAACTATTTATAGATTATAAAATAATCATAATAATAAAGTGTCCCGAATTTTTGTGACAATTACACATTCAGTGGGTTCCTGGCGTTTGTGCATCTGAGTCCCTTCCCAGTCTAATTATAGAATGAGTATGAATATTGCATTAGAAAGGGGTGGATTGTTTCTCCAGTTTGTTTATGCCGCTGTATTTAGCTTCCCTCAGGCACACTAACACATGCATGAACACAGGTGGAGTAAGTTTTCTTTTGTGTGTCTATTTAGGACAAACACGCAGAGGAGGTGAGGAAGAACAAAGAGCTGAAAGAGGAGGCCTGCCGGTAGAAGACTGCTTTGACTATAGTCAAGGGAGATCAAACCAGTGAAGAGAAAATATAGCAAGCGGTAGCCAATACATCTCAAAAAAGGGAACATATTGGACATTGATAATGACAATTTGCAACACACCAAGCTTTTGTGGGGTTTAACAACATCAAAACTACTTAATATTATTAAAAACAGAAAGATATTGTCTAGATGACAATGCAAGGTGCACAAAGAGTACGTTACTTGGTAGAGCCCAGAACGTTGCTTCAGAGAAAAAGAATGAATATACCAAACCGATCTTTAGAAATTACATAAAGAGGACAGGAAGAAATATTGATGAATAGATGCTTTTTATAACCTCCATAACCAGTACAGATGAATATGTTAACATAAACTACATCTTAAAGTCACTCTTCACTAATAGCAGTACCACAAAAGGATATTTTTCCCAAAACATGTGCCATCTACTGAGGCTTTGGCTCATGCTTCTTTAATTATCGTTTGATATTAATATTCAATAATCAGTAGGGTTTCATAGAACCTCAGGCATGCCTATACAATATACATTATTAAGCATCAGTAATCGGGTGGCTAGAGGTTTATCTATCACATTTCCTGTTGTGACGATGTGAGGTAAAAATATGATCAAATGAATATTAGATTAGAACATTCTAGATGCCTATAAATCCGAAAGCTCACAACCCTCTCAGATACATTCAAAGTGGAGCACAGTGACACTTTAAGCACAACTCAGAAGCACATTTAGCTTTTTTTCTATCATTATATTTGTATTATGATGCTCATCAGTAGGAAAACACATAGTGGCATCTCAGAAATGAAGAATGATATCACTCAGGTGTGAGAAAAAGATCCTCTTTGGATTTGGGAAATGGTTTTAGATATGAACGGTGCACTTTGCTTTGGCATGTCACTGAGCTTTATTCTAGTCATTTATTTTACTCGTTCTATACGAAGACAAAGGAGTTTGATGTTGGTGTCTGCAGCATCAAAAAAGAGCCGTTCTATGTGCAATGATGAGAATTGTTGTTAATCGACCAGATTTGCTGAGAAAATGGAATGTAAATGCTCCCTGTGTTTGTAATTTCCAGATGACTAAATTCTCTAGTTCAAGTCAAATAAATGCTTCTCTTAACTAAACCAAAGATTTTCGGGGTTTTTTGCATTTTAACATGTATCATTCATACAGTTATTGCACTCAAACAGACTATTATAAAGCAAAACTAAAAAGAAAATGTTACAATATATTTTATTAATCAAGATAATAAATATAAAGCTGATCAAAAGAGTGGCACAGAAGTTTGCTGTACCTATAAGCAGATTAATACAACAATATAGATATAATACAGTAAGAGTACAGAGCTAATTCTGAGGCACAACGATGGGTAGAACGCATGTACAGCCTAGACTAATTATTTTAGTCTCCAGCTGAAGGGTGTAGTGCGTAGCATTTTTTTTCTTCACTCTCTTCAAGACGTTGATCTGGTAGTAGATGGGTTTAGATTCCAGTCCCAGGTCTTCCTCACCATCTTTGGTTAAACAGCCTGTTTTTTCACATTTTGCCTCAGAGATTTTGGATGGGATTCGTGAATTGTCATAGGATTCTCTGAATTGAAAGATTTATAAAAATTCCGTTATAAAAAAGTAAGATTAGCCAAACTACTCAAAACAACCCCAAATTGTTACAATTCATGTATTTGATACACAAGATCCTCTGCATATCACACATATGAGATTAAAGTGAACAACTGTAACGATTTATCAGATCAAAGACTCACTCGTATGTCCATGGTGACAAAGATCTGCTTGGAGACAGGGGGACATTCGTTGAGAGGTTCAGAGATGGATCCAAGGTTACCCACTTTCCTTTCTTTTGACACTTCGGTTTTCTTTTTCTTTTAGACTTTTTCTCAGAAGAAGCACCATTTAGTAACAGGGCAAGCAGGTAAAGCTGCAGCACAGCTCTGAAAACCTGAGGAGATGGAGACCAAGAGTGGTTGAATGGTTTGCGTTCATATTGTTAATTTACCTAAACAAAATTTAGGTAAATTAAATTTTTTTTTAGGTCACTTTAGACATTTTACGACAATGACATTTCTGTTGAGATAGCCTATACTGGGTTGTTGAATTCAGTGTCAGTTAAAGTGAAACGTCTTCACTCAGAAAAATGAATGGGTGCAAATCCCAAAAGTTCAACAAAAGATTCAGAATCAACAAGAGCAAGCCTTTGCAAACTTTTGTCCTGCAAGTCAAATTTCAAATTCAAGTAGATTATTTCTTGCTTACACTTGCCTAAAATAAAAAACAACAACATCATTAGAGTTTAATTAATTGGTGTGACAAACTCACCGATGAGAGCTGCATCTTCTGAATAAAAATGTAAGTTCCCTGATGGCTCTTCAGAGCTGGTCCAGCAAGTGTCTGAGCCCTGCATCTAATCTTCTATTTATATAGGCTGGTGAGAAAGCCTCAAACTTCCTGATCTTGACGTAGATAAGAGACAAATCTAGAGTACTATAGATAGTCATCTTGAGATCACTGAACTCACTGACAATGAAGACCAACCTGCAGTGCATGCCTGTTTGCAATATCAATTCATAATTATTATTATTTTTTTTTTTTCACATGTAATCTGAAAGTTGGGCTAGAAGGCTGTTCATTAGATGTTCTTCTGTTTCACTATATGTTTAATTGGACACTTAATTCTGTGCCCTCCCACGCTCTCACGTTTCACCCACATACTCTACACATCAGCGGACTTCTGAATAACAAATTTGTACACCAGCAGTGCACTGAGATGCATTTTATATGGGTCAGCAGCCTTGACAGGATATGTTGATTGGGTTCTGAAAGATGGGTTTTTTGCTGATAATGTGAGACAAAGTGAACCATATACATGTGAACGAATCATGTCCATCATGCTGATTGTGTCCATGCACATAAAAAACCTAAGATGTTTAATCTAAGTGTGTCTTGCCTTCCTATTTAGATCGTAACGTTTCTCAACTGATAATCTTTCTGACCAATGTAGGGAGACCATCACAAAATAATTGGGAAAACTTTTCCATTTTTGTAATCATCTGAATTCAAATTTAAATGATCCATGTCTTATATTTTGTTACACAACAGAACCTCCGTATAAAACCCCATGAGGACTCTTCTTTCTATGTGTTTAGAGCAGTTTCATAAGCAACACAGTCAAATTAACACATTAAATCCTTAGCGTAAGGTTCAATTTGTTAACATTAGTTAATGAATTAGGTGTCATGAACAACATTTTTAATTTATTAATCTGGGTTAATGTTGATTTATAAATGCAGTCTTTGTAATATTTGAACTAATGTTTATTTATACAACTTGGAATGTTAAAATCTTTTTAAAAGTTTGGGTCAGTACAATTTGTTTTTGCAAGTTTACAATACATTTATTCAGTAATGATGCATTAAATTTGTTAAATGTAACAGTGAAGATTATTGAT